AGTGCAGGATCCTCTTCTTTGTGATTCCTACCTGACGTCGAGTGCTTCCGCTATTGAATGCCATGTCGAAGGACGATTGAGTTAGTTCTAGGCAGGAGACGTGTGATGAGTTGCGGTTTGAAGTTGCTTGAGTTGAGTTGGGGTTGCTTGAGTTGAGTTGAGTTCTTCAGTCCAAGAAGTTGCAGCTTTGTCCTTGTCAAAGAGCCGTGGTCGCCATTTACACACTTTGCTCGGAAGCGTTTATTCAGATTAAATGCGTGCTTATATATCATCAATATGTTTAGTAAAACTCATTCCAAAACATCCAGAAGGTCTACATGCGGAGCATCAAATCGTGATTCATCAGACATAACGTAGACATGAGGCTAACACAACATAAAATTCTGTAGAGTTACAGAAAACTCCCGGCAGAGAAATTAGTGTTCATATAATTTTCTTGAGAATTGCTAGAGACATCGTCCGAAATGAGAAGATTAAAACAATTACAAAGACAATACACAATAAGAAAGGTATTATAATTTTCAAGGACAAGATCGATGAGAAAAAGTAGTCAAAGTGTTTCAAAGAAGAGTCAATAAAAGCTATAGCATCTGCAGCAAAGGAAAAGTTCAACTTCGATTCAAATGGCACAATATTAATAGGTTTTTCGGGTAGAACTGGTCCATCTGGCACATAGTGGAGTCGTCCTTTGAGCAAGAAATCGGTAGATCCTCCCGGGCAAGCCAGTGTGCAATTTTCTTCTACCAATGAAGAGTCGAAAACGAACACGAGTTTGTTTATATGACCTGTGGGAGTGCAGACTGCTATTTGATGTTGATTTCCGCAGGTGACTTGAGCAGTGACTTCACCGTCGCGCGATTGACACGAGATGTTTGCATATGCTGCTGATAAACAATTGTAACAGCCCACTATGTCCGACGTCGTGATGATGCATGTTGTGTTTTGTCTCTTCGACGCCAACTTCATATTATCTGTGACGATTTGCAGCTGTACAGCGCTTCCCATGTTAGTTTTAGCGACGATCTCATTTTCTTTTTGAAATATCATCACATTCTTCATGATTAGTGGTAAACTTGATGTCTGAAACACCTTTTTTACTTCTCCATCACTGCAAGAGCATGACACATGATTCATTGTTGGCGTGCATGTACAAACATCTGATGGAAAGGAACATCTAAATGCCTTTGCTTCTGAAGCATTAGTGCATTGTAACTGACCGATCGTGTGTGGAATCATTTGTCCTCGATAAGCTGGTTTGGTTACTGCTGTAATGTTGCCATCTGTGACAAAGGTTGTACCAAAAATTGGTAGCTGTGGTAACATTGTTCCAATCAGAGATAGTCGCACAGAGTCCCAGTCGTATGTTTGTCCTGGTTGCAAGCGAACATCAATGCTTTCTGTCTTTGTTCCTTGTTGTTTCGTGATTTTTGCTTCTACTGTAAATTCCCACACGGGGCAGTTGAAAACTGTATACACCTGCGGCGACTGAGGAAGTGCATAGTAGCGATAAAAAAGGCAACTATCCATGCAAAGAAAGCAACCACATATCAGGCAGCCACAACTGGCGGCGCAAAACGTGTAGCCTGGGTGGCTATTTGCAGTTGGTGAAAGTTCTTCTACCTTGTCGGTTGTTTTAGTCGTGTCGCATGTATGTAGTTGGCAACTTCCTGCAAATCGACATCTGTGAATGGATTCTACGTAGAACTGGTGATCTCGCGTGTGGAACTCAATCCTCTTTTGGCATTTGAAGTAAACTCCCGTTACTCTGATGGTGATTATTCCGACGGGAATGTTTTTGTTGTTTTTCATGACCAGGCACGTTTCTTGATCGAGCGGTTGTAACGTCACAAGCGTCGCTTGATTGAAAGTGCAAGTCTCACGCTCGTTGTTTTGTGTGCAAGCTTCTTCGGAGGCCGAGAAGGACACAACTTCGGAGCAACACCTTGCCGATGCTGCAAAGTAGAGAATGGCTATGAGGATTTTTCTGCGATGTCCTGTATAGAGCGGTAAGCGTGTGTTATTTCGTCGAGACAATGGAGCGCATATCATTTTGAAGATGAAGTGTGCGATCTTCAGCGGAAGCTTGACAATGAAAAGTAGGATCTTTAGTGCCGGCAAGATCATATACGTAATGACTAGAAGAGCGAATATTGAGCTGAGAAATACGGCGACTTGTGTCTTTGTCCAGCAATCTGGATTATACAGTAGCTCTAGGCAAACTGTACAATCGATAAGTTCACATACCGGGTAAGAGCCACATTGTATGTCTTCTTTTTGAATGAGTGTTCCGTATGCCCACGAGGAAATCGAGACGGTGTATGCAAAGGCCACAAGGCTGTTTGGGAAAATGATGTTGGAGTTTGTTGGATTTTGAATAAAATGACAGTAATCAGCAATGCAAACTTCTGTCGCGTTTGTAGGAGTTTTGACGATCAGGTTGACTCCTCCTTTTGAACAATATGCAGAGTTTTTCCCTATTTTGGAAGGTGTGAGATAACCGTAATAGTCCTTCACAGTGATTCCCCAAGCTTTCACCAAAAAGGATCCATTCAGCGTTGTGAAAACAGCACTTGGTGTTCCAAACGTGCAAAATAACTTGGCGTTGTCATCACATTTGTTTTCATTGCAAAAGTAGGATGATCCCGTGTAGGGAGGCACTGCTTCTCGTTGACGTCCGTATTGGTCGAAACAGAGGTAATCCGAGGAGTCGAGGTAATCCTTGATGTCAATGTGAAGTTCAGGAACCACGAGTAATGTTCCGTCGTATAACTCGATTTGATTGAATTTTCCCAACCGTCTTTCTTTGTCACATTCTGAAGAGGGTGAAAACGAGCATACATGAGCTGGATGATACGTTGTTAACTGCATCGGTACATTCTGGAGTTTCGAGGCTAGTCGTCGAGGGCTTGAACTGAACGAGCATGACGTTGCCCATGCAGGACAAGGACAATGTGGTCCGCAAAGTCCTTTGTTATGTTGGAAGGGAATTTCCACTCGAATCGCTCCGTTAGGACATGATAGCGGGAACCAGCACAACTTTACCTTTCCATGAAAGGAGTGTCTTGCTATTGCTAGTCCTCTTTTGATACAGTTCGTGGCGTATATGATCGTCTTCGGTGTGTTGATTTCCACCGGACAGCGTGGATGTGCTCCTGATGAGTGAATCAGCGTTAGTGTCAGCACAGTGGTCAGTAGAAGAGGCACCGTATTTGCAGCTGTTTTCGACCTCGTTATCATCGGATGACGATTTTGCGATCTTCTTTGTGATGTTTCTTGCCTGTTAGTGGTATTTTTTGAAGAATCTTGTTGCTCGCCTTGAACTTCAAGTTTGTGAAGTAGATTGATTGGTCGTGTAATTATGTGTCTTGATGGTAGGCGTATTTTCGCCGATCTTTGGTATTGATCGCTAGAAGAAATGATTTGTCCAATTTTCCATTGCCCTCGTTCAAGTGACTTTTCCTGAATCAGCACAACGTCGTTCTTTTTTGGTTGTGCATTGGTAGATAGACGTGGGTGTGGATGTCTATCACGAAACTGCTCTCTGAGGCTGGTCAAGTATTCTGACTTCCATCGTTTCCAGAATCTTTCCAATGTTATATTCATAAATTGCCAATCCTCCATTAATTTCTCTTTCGTTGTAGTAGTTGGAATGAAAGGTTGATCTTTTTCATTGACTCTCGGAGGAGAAAGTGGTGTCCATGGATGAAGAAAATCAATAGGTCGTAACGGCATTGTTCTATCATCTTGTACGATGTATGTCAGCGGCCGGTGATTCACTATGGTCTCTGTTTCTTTTGCGAGAGTACGTAGTTCTTCAATATGGAGTATCCGGTTATTCAAAGCGTGTTTGAACGACGTTTTGAAGATGTGCACCATTTTTTCATATAATCCCCCTTGCCACGGGCTGAAGCTAGGGATAAATTTGAAATCGATCATTTTTTGTGCGCAGTAGTCAATGATGTCGTCATCTTTGTTGTTGTTCGGCTGTAGACAATCTTGTAGTTCATTGATTGTTTTGAAGCTCTTCGCATTATCGCACAGAATCCATCTCGGATAAGCAGTGGTGGCGAAAAATCGTCGTAATGCTTGGAACAGAGTCTGCGTAGACATATCCAAAAGTAGATCAACGTAAATCGCTCTCGTATTCAAACATGTGATGAGTAGAATCCAGTATTTTACCGTTGTGTCTTCCCATGTCTTGCAAGGAAGTGGCCCTGCATAGTCCATCCCTGAATTCTCAAAGGGATATCTCGGTCTTAGTACTCTCTGAGGTGGATGCACTGGGAATGGTGGTAGCTGATAAGGTCGTGCTTTATAGCGTTTGCAATGGAAGCATAACCTGTAGATCACTCGTTTTATCGTTAGCCTTCCTTTTGGAATCCACACAGTGCGACGTAATTCATTCAAGGTATAACTAACCTCACTGTGATTGTTCTTTTGATGTATGTGCAATATGAATAACGAGGTTATGTAGCTTTCTCGTGGTAAGAAGATTGGTAAGATCGTGTCGATAGGTAGCTCTGCGTTCAGAATTCTTCCTTTTGATTTCCACAATGCTTCTTGCACGTCGTAAAAGAGACCCAATTGTTGTTTCGTCTCTTCTGATGGTGGATACTGCAACTGTGCAAATCGGAAAAGGATCCTTTCTGCACTTTTGTATAGTAACGAATAACCGTCACCAAAGATCTTGTCTGTTCCTTTTATTGTCTTCGTTACAAAAAGTAATACCTTTTGCATCGTACGAAGTAGTCGCGTCCAGGAACTGAATCTTTCCGCATTAATGATTATGTTCGACTTCGGCGAGGTCGTAACTTCACTTTCTTGAGAGTGGCAACTTTTCTCCGTTGGATCGTCAGTTATATCAGTCGGCCATTGTTCCTCAGGTTGACAAAGAAAGTTTGGACCTTTCCACCAAAGGTCAAATGATTTCAAATCTGTGATACTTGCGCCTCTGCTACCAACATCAGCAGGGTTTGTATCGCCAGGAACGTACCGAAGTTGAGCATCTGGAGCATTTTCTCGTATTGTTGTAACTCGATTTTGAATGAAGACAGGTAAGCGTTTGTCGCTTTTGATCCACATAAGCGCGACACTGCTATCGGACCAAATGACCGACCTTTCAAAGTCGATTTCGTCGGCGTAGCTGTTGCGTATGTGCTTCAAAAGCTGTGATCCAAGAGCAATAGCTGAAAGTTCTAATCTGGGGATAGAGATGGACCTCTTTGAAGGCGCTAGTCTGCTTTTTGACATCAAAATTGAGCTTCTCTGCGCTCCGTCTTGTACTAAATAGGCTACTGCACAATATCCCATGCTAGAGGCATCGGTGAAAACGTGCAACTGAAAGACTGAATCATGTACTTCACTCACGACTAGTTGTCGAGGAATCGAGATGATAGGGATGGTCCATTTCGCAGTAATTGATTTCCACATTTCAGTCATATCGTCAGGGAGGGTGTCATCCCAGTGTAGTTTTTCTTTCCACAATGACTGGAGAAAGATCTTGCTTCTGAACAACACGGGGGAAACCCATCCCATTGGGTCAAATGTGCTTGCGATAATTTTCAGGATTTTGCGCTTGGTCCATATGTTAGCTCCTATAGGCGTCGTTGGTAGTCGTACAGCCAAGGTATCTTCAGCTGTGTCCCATGAGATTCCCAAAATTTTGTTTTGAACGACCATTTTTTCGTCTTCCTTCTCTCTCAGAAACTGATTGAGTGCTTCGGAGTTACTGGTAAACTGACGTAGGTTCATGCCTGCCTTTTGGAAAAGTTGCTTAGAATTCTCGTAAAAGTTCTTCCCTTCCTCAACAGTGTCCACTCCGTAAAAAATGTTGTCAACGTACGTATTTTTCAAGATCTTCTGTGATAACGGTGTATCGGCCATTTGCAGGTGGTAATGAATTGTTCCTGCAAGCAGGAAAGGAGAGGCAATTAGTCCGAAAGGAACACGTCGAAATCTGTAAGTGACTATATTTTCCGGCGTCATTGGTCCTTCGGGATCCTTCACCCAGAAGAAGCGTGTGAAATTCCTACTTTCTTCATTCAATCCTACCATGAGGAATGCCTTCTCAATGTCGCT